GGTGCTTTTATCCCAAAGTCCATCCCCATTGAGGTCCAACTTTGACCTTTCCGCCCAATTTGCCGATTTTATCCCAAATTTCTCCCAGTGAGGCCCAGCGTTGACTTCTGCTCCCAGCAGGAGCGTTTTTATCCCAAAATTGGAGCGAAATGTTGGGTTTTGGCTCAAACGGGGCCGTTTTTCTCCCAAAACCCATCTCCACCGAGGTCCGCCTTTGACTTTGGGTCTTCTCCTCCCACCAGATCGTCCAGCCCAACCCAACCTGACGGTGGCGCCCTCCAGCGTCACCGTGGAAGGGCAGCCCCTGGTCTTCTTCTGCGCGGCCCCGCCCGGCGCCGCCGAGCGCAGATTTGGGTTCTTCCAGGAGGAGCTGGAGGTCACGGATGGGATCTGGGAAGGTTCCGGAGCCGGCGGCGCCCGGCTGCGGGTGGAGAAGAGCGACCGGAACCGGACCGGGAACTTCAGCTGCCGCTACGAGGAGATGACCGAGGGCCGCTGGATCGCCTCCTACCGCAGCGACGCCGTCCTGGTCATCGTCAAAGGTGATTTTGGGGGAAATCCAGCGGTTTCTGGGCATGGAGCCACCTCAGGGTTGGGTTTGGGGAAGGTTGAGGAGATGGCAAAGGGGGAGTGACAGGGTTGGTTGGGTTCGGTTGGGCCATGGTGGGATGTGGTTGAGGTGGGTTTGGTCATGGTTGGGTGTGGTTGGGTCATGGTTGGGTTGGGTTGGGTTGATTTGGTTTGGTTGGGTTTGACTGGGTCATCGTTAGGTCATTGTTGGGTCATCATTGGGCTTGGTTGGGCCATGGTTGGGTTTGGTTGGGTTTCATTTGGTTTGGTTGGGTTTGACTGGGGCATCATTAGGTCATCGTTGGGTGTGGTTGGGTCATGTTTGGGTTTGGTTGGGCCAAGGTTGGGTTTGGTTGGGCCATGGTTGGATTAGGTTGGGTCATGGTTGGGTTTGGTGGGGTCATGGTTGGGTTTGGTTTGGGCCATGGTTGGGTTAGGTTGGGTCATGGTTGGGTTTGGTGGGGTCATGGTTGGGTTGGGTTTGGCTGGGTCATGGTTGGATGTGGTTGAGTTGGTTGAGTTTAGTTGTGTTTGGTTGGGTCATGGTTGGGTCATTGTTAGGTCATTGTTGGGTCATGGTTGGGTCATGGT